GACAGACCGCTGATTTTTTTTTTTTTTTTTTTTTTTTTTTTATTTAATATTTTATTTGGAAAGGATAGTTACAATTACTTTGTACAGACCAGCTTCCTTCACATGGATGTATGAGCGGGTATAACAAAAGCCAAACCAGGATTTTCCAGGCTACAGACTTATAGATGCATCGGCGCTGAACTACTGAGGTGTCAGGCTGCTCATAAAATGATGTCATAAAGGGTCAAATAAAAGGGCTATTTTAAAGATATTTTTCAGTAAAAAAAATTACTTAATTTCTCTTTAATTTACACTTCATGTCAAATGGTTCAAATGTGAAACTGATGACTCAAAATGATTTTGACAAAATCTCTTAATTCTACTGTATGTCTCAAAAGTTTTCTCCTCTCACCAACAACTGTCTCAATTTATTGCCATGTTTTTCGCATGGTGCTTTCCATCATACATTCTTCTTCTCCATGCATATATATATACTCATGTAATATTATGTATGAACTTGCTAAATGCAACAGTCCCCTCTTGGGTGTGATGTAAGCTTAAAAGCATGACAGGACATGAAGGAGCAGCAGCAACTGTATAGAAACTGAGACCTGAGAACAAGGGTGCCAGTACACCCACTATATTCCCCAGTACAACCACAAGTATGAACACACACACCCACACACATGCATACAGACTTAACTAAAGTAAGAATAAAGCCACACTGACTTTGAATGCTCAATGAAATGTTGTAAACTTACTTAGAAATATAACTTGTGTTCCTGAGTTTTTAAAGATTGCCAAATTCCAATTCATTCATTCATGAGAGTCATTCTTCAGCTCAAAGCTTGTTAACAAGTCTGTGTGTTGGTATGTGCGTGTGCTTATGTGTGTGTGTGTGTGTGTGTGTGTGTGTGTGTGTGTGTGTGTGTGTGCTAATGCTTTTGTGTTTTGCATGTGTCCTGCCCCTCCCAGGTCACAGACAGAAGGATAACAACAGCCATGTCCTCACGAACAGCTGCACTAATATGAGTACTGTCTGTGTCACAGAGGGACTCCCCACTCACCAGTAACAGGAACAACTTATTTTTGAAGCCACCAAAAACACAATGGAAGCTTGGGCTCACAAAACATAAAATGTTTTTTGAACATTGTGAAGGGTGTAGACAGAAACTAGGGAAATGCATCTTTTAGAAAAGGATAGAATGTAGACTCAACCGGAACATCAAAGGGGGTGAATAGACCAGAAATAGTAAAGATTTACTGTGGAAAATAAACATCCAAATAGTTTTAAAGATGCAATATGCTCATTTGACCTTAATGCCCCCTGTCACCAGCAGAGGTGGGATTTGTACAATGTCTAGAGGTCAAGGTTGCAAGGGTCATTTTCTGGAGTTACAACATTATTGTAACTAATAATACAGCAATAAGGATTGTTAACAACAAAATATAAGGCTATCAAGGCTCATTATATCTAATTTTAAATTAGTCTATATAATAACTAGAATCTTTTTCCTTTAACCAACTGAGTCATGGATATGTAACAAAAGTCAGAAAGAGAGAAAGCCAGGAAAATATATACAGAAAAAAAGACAGACCGCTGATTTTTTTTTTTTTTTTAAACAAGGCATAAAAACTGATGTACAAGACTCCACCTTGTGAACACACTGACATCTGGATTCATTTGGGTCTTGGTCTGGAGCACTTCCCTGTCTCTCCATGGATTTTACTTCAAACATATCCTTCTAAAGGAAGAACATGTTGTTACTTTAAAGATTTGGATTTTCTTCCGTTTAAACACATGAAAACCAAACAAGAAGTAGTAGGTTTGGACAACAACTTTTGCTCACTGCAAGTGAAAAATGAGGCATAAAATATAACACTGATGGGTGGCCTGGCTGAAACACCTGTATTTACACCTGCTCAGACACACTAAAGCTGGCAGTGTCGTTGCAGTTTTCCCTTTAGTTCAACTATAGCTCTTCAGAATACAGCATGGTAAAATCAGAGGACGAACCTTATTGCTTTGGAAGTGTGAACAGAGGTCTAATAGAACAGAATATAAAATCCCTTTATTGTCCTACAATGGGGAAATAGTGGTGTTGCAGCAGCAAAAGTGGTCACACAAATGGGGACCTTAAAAAGTATATAAAAACAACAGAATAAGTGACAGAGTTAAAAAAAAAAAGGACAAATAAAATACTTAACCTTACAGTGTTTTTACAATATAAATACTGTGTATCTGGAGAATAAATAATCAATATACAGCTGAGGACATTTTTAAATTAGTGGATATGTGAAAATAGCAGCCCCACTAGAGATGAGCAAAAATGACAGCATAAGCCGATCAAAATAATGATTCCACTAATAATATTAGATGGCTTCCCTAAACTTATACATCTTAAGAGGTTTAGGCATTGTTCCTAATTATAACCACAACACTCTATAACATATTATTCTACATTATTTTATATGTATTTTTAGGTGTAAAGTAAAAATCAAACATATCAGACCCCTTAGATTTGATTCTCTTAAAAATGTACAACTGATTGCCTTCAAAACCCTGTTATCAATCAATCTTTTTTTTTAATCTAGGTAAAGGATATTAATCGATTTTGAGTGATTTTGAAGTTGATGATCCAATAGATCTGTATGACAAGCGTTGTCCTGTTAAACAGTATTTGGTTAAACATAAACAACCTTGTCAAGAAAACATTGGATCGCTAAAAATTAAAGGTTAAAAGAATTAGAACAACCATGTATGAAGTAATAAAAATGGAAGAAAAAGTAGAAGCAAGTAAATATTTTATAGGTATTTTTATTGATTTCGCTTTTGATAAATATCACGCATTATTATTAGATAATGGAGAAGTAGATATTAAGAGGGATAAAGAATTTATGGATCAAAATGTATTTGGAGTATAAACACCAGCATGTACATATCAATTAAACAAGATCGGAACTAAGGCAGACCACCTGTGTGGTGCCACATTTTTTGCTTGGATCTAAATTCTGAATTCTTTATATAAATGATGTTAGTAAAGTTTCTGAGGTATTAAAATGTACTATTTTGCAGAGGATACTAATTTATATTGCTCAGGAAAAAAGTTTAAATACTTTCTACATACAATTAAAAAGGTGTACATAAATTATAACTTAAAAGAATGTATGGAATTTTGAAATAAACAAGAAAGCACTTTTTACAAGATTTTTTATATTAAAATTAAAAGAGTTTGGGAAAAACATTTTGGTGAGCAGTTATTAATTTCTAAACTAATCTGGAAGCAGTATAAAATATGTAAAAGGAAATCATTCAAAGTCAACAGTTTTGCATGAAACAAAGAAGATTCTAAACTTTAAAGGTTTTGAATTTTGATACACCTTTGTTTAACATAATGAGCGGAACTATTGGAAATACCTTACAAAACTGGAATTAAAAGATTTGGTTGCAAAGAAAAAAGGAGTCATATGTATTATAAATAAAGAAGCATTTAATGACCATACTAATCCACTATTTATAAAGGAAACTTAAGAATCTTGGATAATGCGGAATACTGCATTTAACCTACAAAGCAAAAATAAATCCCTCCTGGATTTTGTTCAGAGGTTCTTTTCTATTCCAGAAAGTATATATTATATGTAAACATAAATAGATATGTAAATTCACCTTTAAAAAGGGAAATCAAAATGAGCTAGAATGTGGAACCCTGCTGATTTAAGTATACGTCATATACATCATTTCTCAGTTTTTGTTCACAAAATTATATTGTAAAATTATCATTGCAAGTGAAATTTTAATAATTGTATTATTACTGAATTATTAATTTAATGGATTAATAATCTGCATCATGACCCTAATCTAAAAATGACCTTTTAGGAATCTCAGTAATAATAAGCTTGCAGCTTAAATGCTTCTGTACATTTATATACATGTCCCTTCATAACAAAGCATTTTAAATAACATATGGATTATAATGCTTTATTAAAACTTAAATGAAAGTTTTATTAAATTACCGGCTATGTGTCACTTGGCACAGCTTGGTACTGTATATTAAATAACCAGCCCCGGTAGACGTGGACATATTTTCTGCTTGAAATGTGGCAATGTAAGCCACTTTGCTATGAAACTACATGGGTCAAAGGGTATCCAGATGTCGATGTAACTAAAAGTCGAAATCTGCACATAATTTCACCTGAGATATTGTAGCTTAAGTATAAAACTATTGAAAACC